GCCAGGGTTCTGAGGACCCCACTGTCTCGGGGGCACTCCTGCTCAAGGCCCAGCCGAGTTCCAGTCTGTGAGGGTGACAGGCACAAAGGTGAAATGACTAAGGGAGGCGGGCAGGGGCAGAAAGGACACAGGGGAAGAGACCAGACAGAAGCATTTTGGAAAAGGAACAAATTCGGAGCTGCTGAGAAAGTGCAGGTTGGGGTTCACAACACACCGATCTGTTCAGACAGAAAGGGCGAAGAAACGCTGAACCAGGAAGGTAAAGGGAGTGGAATGGCAACCGGCAGAGGCAACAGCAGAATATTCCAGAGAAGAGGGTTGGGAATGCCTCAAGAAATTTTCCTCGCACAAAGGAAGGGTGGACAAATTAGGAGAGAACATGCTATTTTGATATATTCTATAAAAATAAAGGCAAAGCCACCAAGGAATATTAGATAGATAGATAGTAGGATAGAAAATTACTTGCTGGTTCATAAAAAATTTGACTTTCGGACTTCATACAGCTTTCTGGTCTGCTTAGGGTAGAACCACTGTCCAGTTTCCTGTCTTTCTGTTTGGGCTAAAGATCACCATCTCTTGTAACAACCAGTTAATTAGCATATTCACGGATGGGGATCTATTTATAGCCTGCCTTATCATCTGTTAGCAAAAGACAGTGGCAGTGTACTATTGTCCATGCACACATGCTTACTAAACACCTCCCTGGGCAGCCAAGCCAACGGGGCACAGACTTTGCCTTTAGGGGTACTGGGAGCACAGTGGGGTCAGTTCTCTACTGTGAGAGGGGTGGGGAGTCTGAGGGCTCCCTCCCTGCAGGGGGCGGTAGAGGAAGCCTGTGCCAAGGAAAGACCGGCCTGTGGTCAACTCCCAATTCCACAAGTCTGTGACTTATTCATTTTCAGTTTCATTTCCTTATCTGTACAATGGGGATGACATCTACTCAAAGGGCTGTTGCAAGAATAAATAAGATAGTGTATGTAACGTACCTAAGCAGGGTGTCAGCAGTAGTAGGTGTTCCATACAGGGCAGCTGTTTTTAATTAAATGTGAACGTGTGGGCCGTGGGGTGTGGGGACAGAAGCCAGAGAAAGCATAGCTCCTTGGGGGAGGAACTGGAGGGTGGAGCTGGGTGAAGCAGAGGATGTATAATAGGAGGCGGCTGGACAGGACCTGGGACCCTCCTGCAAGGAGAGGGGCACCTCACTCCACGCCATGGAACCGGGCTCGACCCTCTGGGTAGGAGGGCAGCACGTGCAATCACCCACCCAGTCCATTCTGCCATAAGTCACCACCAGCTATTCTTGAATGCTTTCACCCTTTCGAGTCTTATAAAATTGATAAACATCACCTTTCACTCTTGGACACTGGCCCTTTCTAATGAACACACGTCATCTCACTTAAATTGTCTGCACCAAGGAATGTAAACTGGTTCATGAATTTACAAATTTCTCAGCAAATATCTGCTGAGCGAACATTTGGTCTAGACTCCATGGGGATAAACAGAAGTTTATAAATCTATCAGTAAAGATGAGATATGCACAAAGTAACAGAGTAGAAAATGCCAAAATGAGTGTGAACAAAGCCAGAAAGTGCAATGGGACAGCCCTGGAGGGGTTTCACAGCCCCTCTTAGCACCTGCAGCTGGTGGTCTGGGCAATAAACAAGCACTTCTCGCTCCGAATCTCTCTCTCTCTCTCTCAACAGGGACATAGCAAGGACTGGAGAGGCACTGTTGGATGGTGGGAGTGGTCCCAGCACTGGTATTTTATGACAGACACTGTTTAGAATTGCTGGTGCATGGTGATAATAAAAAGCAGAGCCATTTTTGGTTGACTTTATTAGTGATTTTAAACTCTGTGAAGACAAAGCCCTATTTATTGCCTACACCAAAGGTGTGTGGACCATTCCAACAGCCCTCTTTCCCCATCTGGCTAGCCCCTGGTTCTGAGTCCCAGTTTCAGAATCAGCAAAAGGGGATAAACACCACCTTAACAAGGCATTTGAGAGGGTAAAATGAGACAGTCTAAGTGAGAATTCCTCCTGGCTCAGGGCTTGATGTGGAATACTGCACTTACATGAGCTCTTTTTCTTCTGTCACCCTCCTTTCTTCTTTCCCTCCCAAAGTGGTTCCAGAATCCAGTGTTGACAGACCAGCCAACGTGTGTCCACTTGTCTTTCTGTCTACACTAGCACTGTCCATCTAGCACACACCACCCCTTACATGAGGAAGGAAGCAGCATGTCAGAAACCAGCAGCCTTTAACTTCACTCTCTAATGGAGACCAAAAGCCTTCCTGGGGGGCTACTGTGAAGAAGGGTGGCTACAGTGGCAGCAGCATTTGTATAAACCTGTTCTCCACTCGCTATCCAAATCTCAAACACAAAGTTGTATTCTCAAGAGCTTGTCCCAAAATAAAATTGAGCAAATTACATAATAGTCTGTGAAATCATGTATCATCACACACAATTTTTTCAAACACCCTCAGCGGTAATGCTCCTGGTACCCACAGGCAGGCTGGTGAGTTGCTGCTAAACACTGGGCCCCGGCCTGGATCTCTCAGTTTTCCCAAAAGCATCTCCTCAAAACTCACCCTGAACAAAGACAGAGAGCAGAGAACATGCTATGTCTTTGTCACCTCTTAATCTTGATGTATCTACACTTTTTTTTTGAGTGTGGGAGCGATACAGAGCGCACATTCTTTCACCGATAAGAAGAAAACCCACGAAAATTAGTTTCTTTATGAAAAAATGGCTAAAAGTTTACAAAGTACTATTGTTACTAAGAAATTGAAAAACATTTTTCTCATTTCCTAATTAGTGCCTTTACAGGCTAAAAACAACTCCTCTGCCCAGCTCTGGAGAAGGTGTAATAGAAAATATTTGACCAAACAAATTGACCAAATCTATTTATTTCATAGTGTTACATGTATTCTAGACAAGCTGCCTCCTTGCAGCAGATCAGAAATCACGTGAAGAAATACTGGGATCCCAGTGTCTGCGGGAGCCTGGTTCTGGGAGGAGTCCCTTTCCTCAACTCACTCAGAAGGAACGGCTTCTAGGTAAGAAACAAAACCTCCCCCTCCCCACCACCAGCCGGAGCCCACACTGTTATCACACATGTATCTCGCACCGTGAGCACCTCCTGGGCACAAAGCCGTGCCGGGGGCTGCTGGTACCGACTCTCTGCTAAACATGCCCAGGGACTGACTGGGCTTTTCTCTACGCCACTTTCCTCGCCTCTAAAATGTGCAAGAAAAAAAATTGCAACAAAGCAAAACTTCAGCGGGAGCAGTTCTCTACTTTACACTGAAAAGACCAGAACGTTTACTGGTGGGAGTGGTCCTGGGAGAAACAGACCACACAATGACCACGAAGCCAACGCGG